ATTATATATATTTTTTGAATTGCATAAAAAAAATATAATTTTAATATTATATATCTTGGGTATAATCCAACTCACTACACTTGTTGATCATGTTATGGACAACAACTATTTCAAATTACAGATCTCTAGTCATAAACATTGCAAAACTGTTATCCTTATAATATCAAAAAAGTCTATTTGGCACAATTGATCCAGATTAGAACCAAAAGTGCCAAACTGGATTAATAGAAGTCTATGATTAATTTGTCCATAAAAAACATATTTCTATGTGTATTTCATTCAAGCTCTTTCCTTTATAATATTTCAAATTCTCAGCTTTCTAAATTTAGACTATGCACTTTCTGTGCATATCCAGTTATTTCTTCTCTGCCCCTACACTTCCAATACTTCATTGCAAAATCTTATTGGCTAAGAAAATATGGCTACTTTCACACTGCAGGCCTTGATGCTCAATTCCGATTTTTTTGTGAAATCCGATTTTTTGCGTTGCGACTTGTATGTGATCTCTTGTGCAAACTGCAGTCATAGAACGCAAATGTCCCGCATGCGCAGTAAAGGATGCAATGTCGTCACAGGCCAGCATGCTCTATGTTTACTGAAGTAAACATGGATGGTAGTACCGGCGCGCATCTAGCGGTCTTTTCCAATCACAAAACCTCAATCTTTTCACATGGTTAAACATAAATACTGCTCTCTGCATCATCATCTACCATGGTTGTTGTTTTTCTTGCCGCTTCTGCGTAGCAAGACGCAAAATAGTGACCTTTGTCGGGTATTAATGACGGCCGTTCACACACATCGCATTTCTCACTTGCAGGATGTTTTCAACGTATACTGAATACTGAAAAAAGGAGCTTATGCTGGATTTTGGAATCAAACAGATTGATGAATAAGATCATGTCACACAGAATCTAAAATGGTGGACATATGGCCATAGACCGTATGAGCTTTTATCCATTTTTAATTTTTCATGGAAAGAATTTGCTTCGATCGAGTATTATGACATATGATGTACAATTTGATATTACTTTTCTGTGGAGTGTTACGGACAAATTGAGCCTATGTATGCCAGGATAGAGTGTGTTTGGAATGCCAGATGACGAGAAAAAGATAAGAGGTAAAAATCATGAGTTTTAAATTATGACAGCTTATTAGTTATTTGTGTTTGTAGCATTTAGTTGGCTTACAATTTTGATGGGGGGTCTTTTTCTTTAGATAAAAATATCTGATTTTAAGGAGGTACAACACATTGGGTTTTCTTTACTAATAAGCTTGATGTTAAATGCGGAGCAAAATGTGGACGCAAAATGGCCCGAGGCCGGACAGTGGGAGCTAAGGGGTTAAAATTTAAAGATAATAGCTGTCGTACAGAAAGGCTTCCAGCTCTCAGTCGTTATACGATGATTTTCAATTTGCTTCAAAATTAGAGCAACACCATTTTTAATTCAAATGAAAAATATGAGCAGAAATGGACCAACATGTGTATCACGGCTACCTTGGGTAATTCTTCAATCTGGTTGGCATCCAGGTAGAGCTCTTCTAAAGTTCTCTCGAAGCTGAAGATCTCCTTGGGGACCTGCTGAAGACTGCAATGAGAGTAGTCCAGCACTGATATCACTTCCTCTTCACCACGGAAACAGCGGCATGGCACCAGCCGGCCAATCAGCTTTCGCTTAGTGGTCATTTCCAGACACTGCACTGAAAGAAGTAAAAAAAGAAGAGATGGGGGATATTTTAATAATTCAGATTAATTTAAGGGGAATTTGGTTTCATTGAGTTTACACTGTATCAGTGCCCCATTACTTGCCAACAGAACATATTTAATAAGGATATACCACAAAAATGATACAAATATTCAGAAGCAGTGAAGTGTCATAATAAGTCAACCACAGAATTATTAATAATTAAGAGAAGTAATGAAATAAACCGACACAGAAGGGAAAATTTTGACACAGAAAAGGAAGAAATCTTCTGAAGTTGCTGTTCTCACTTGAAATGCTTGAATCAATGCAAACTACTCTACATTAGACACGCATGCTTAGCAACATAAATCACTGATACCCTACTTCTTGTGAATAAAAACCAGGGATCGACCCATTCATAGTGGTTTAGACTCATACAGTAACAGAGGCTGGAAGCTAGGTAGTACAGTTTTATTTTTTATTTTTATATTTATTTTTTGCAGACAATAGCATTTTTTTTACTAATTTTTTTCTGGACAATTTTAAGTTTACCTATACTTAAGTCCATAAAACACCACTTGTGTCTGTTCTGTGATTTGAGTTCAATAGAACAGCCCTGCTCTCACTTCTAACCTGCTCAAAGTTTCCAGTTACTTGTGGAAATTCTCAGTCATACAGCTCATAATCATTCCAAAAAAAGTTAAAAACAAACCACGTGACTTTGTTTTCCAAGTTTGAAGTTGTTTAGCTTCCCATCCAGGAATCTGGGTCTGAGTTAGCATTGAGTTCTAAGCTTTATAAAGTAGTTCAACAAAGCCTTGTTATGTTAAACTCCCATCACTATGCAGGGGACCAAAACATCTCGCCTGCTCAGCCAGGCCAACAATGACCCTAGTGACTCCCTTTCAGAGACATAGGCCAGTATTGGGTGCACAATTGGATTGAGATTTTGAGATTTTCAAGAACAAATCATGTTTGTGTTTCAAAGCTTTTTCTGGTGCATTGTTGCTACAGCAGGACATATTTCTTCGATTAAAGAGTACGGTATATGAGGTCTGTACAAAGCTTAGGTAGGGGAAATGTTTCAAAGTAAACTGCAAAAGGTTTGCCTACAGATCCCTGACCAAACCATCTCACTGCCTAGGCCATTTGTTCCCACAGAGCACCCAGATGTCTAGTAATTCTCAGGTAAGTTATTCAAACCTAAAATCTACATGTCCAGTCTCTTTAATTAAATATAATTATAAAGCTGGCATACTCATTGTTTTTTCATCTGTCATAACTTTGAAATGAGCAGCAGCAATAGTTTTTTTTCCCTTGTGAAAATATTTTTATCCCTACTATTTTTTTTGGTTAAAAAAAATTGTAGGAACATATAAAAAAAAAACCAAAAAGGCAACACACAAATATAGTATTATGGTATATTATATTAGCCTTTATGAAGAGGCTCAATAAATCTAACAGAATTTTACAAAGTAAAACAATTTTCTTTTAATTGTTGACAAAATGCATCTATCTTCACAAAATTCTTTAAAAAATAGTTTTCAATAGATTGACAACAACGTTCTTTCTAATTTTGTCATCTACCCTGGAAGACTACATAAAGTTCATTACGAAGAAACAAACGAGATGACGCATCTGAACATTCTTAGACAGATTTAGTTTTGTGACATGTTTTTTCCTTAACAGCACAAAATGTGAACTCATCTTTAATGTTGTGAAATCAAAAGTAATTGGAGCGCTTGAAATGAAGTGTAAAACTGGGGGGCAGATGCATGAAACAGCCATCCACTGCACTCCAGCCGTTACCCAGCTCAAAGCAGGCTGCGGCTCAACTCCTCAACAGATACACACAATCTGTCTTTTCATACAACAGGCCATATAATTAGACTAGAGATATAATTAAAATAGATCTTTTGTGATTCTATGACAACATCGCTGTGTTCCATAACTCCGTTTGAAAAGCTGCTGGCTGAATGGCATAAGTAGGCTAAGGATGCATATTAAAAACCTCGAGTGAGGATTTATTGTGAAGCTTTATAATTTCACACTAGAATGTTAACTACACTCAATCTACTGACAACTAAAACTATTCTATTGCCGCCTCTTTTGAAAGGAAGAATGATAAAAACAATTTACTAACTATGGCCCCACTTTCATTTTCTGAATGTCAGCTACAATGTCAAGAGCAAAAAGGAATTAAAAAAAAAAAAAAACAGAAAGGAGAAGATTTAATTTGTTGTATACTTGTGCTTAAAATGTTATTCTGAGAGCAAACTGCCAGTTAATTAAATCCCTTGTAGAATACGCCAACTTGACAGTTAAAGCTGATTCTGAATAGTGAAGGGATTCATGGGGGGCACAGAGAGAACAAAAGAAGATGTGGAAATAAGGATGAGAAGGTGCAGACTGCAGCAAAAGGGACTCCAGAAGGTACAGAGATGAGATCTATGGGCTTTATCAGGCTATAAGCACACACACATACTGTGCATGTCCAACTCTGCATGAGACCAGATGGATTCAGTAGACAGAGCAAAAAGGAAAATTGAAAGCACACTGTTATCTACAATGGGTTATTACAACCCATCTGAAATCTGATATAAAAGGTGCTGATCCTTAAGAACAGTTTAACAAAAAGCGATGGACCATTACAGTACACATATCCTAAACTAGATTCATATACTAAACCTCACATCCTAAAGTTCAAATATACTACACAATTTATTTAGTAAAACTTTACTTCCATACAGGACAAGCAAAAGGCAACAACCTTTTATAGGCGTGCAGTCTCTTTTGCAGTAAATTTCAATATTAAGTTTTCAGACACCTTCCATTAACCATTAATCTAATAAACTTGAAACAATCTTCAAAATGGTTACTAGGATGCCTCACGAACTTTAGCTTACTACAATTAAATACAAATCTAACAACATGCCATGATTCACTGACAACAAACATCTTAAATATTGCCTCCACAACGATGATATTAGAACAGAACAGAAGACAACCCGATTACTGCTAAACTTCTTTTATATTAAAAGCTAAAAAAAAAAAAAAGAGTTTTTGCTGCCAAAATGATTCCAATATATAGAGATTGGTCATTTGTATATTTAGGTATTTTGTATTCAAAATGGTCAAATAAAGCAGCAGTAAAATCTGTCCATTGGATGAGGGAATAATAGAACCAAAATAATACTTGCTATATGTTCAATAAGGATGAAAGGGGATTTCTGGTATAATTGTACCATATTGGTATCAAGGTTTTGAATTTATTGAACGCTCATAATAATGCTTTAGTAGTTTTTCCAAGATTCCCTGTCCGGCTTCTGACAATATTGTTTCTGTAATCTGGCAAATAAATAGTAGACATTATAGAAACTGTTTGAAAGGACAACCCTCTACACTGAAAAAAACAACTCATAAGATTTACTTAAAAATACATTATAAGTATTTGCACACAAATGATTTAAGTAAAATATTATGCTGCAATATCAAGTAACACTCACTTGTCAGTTAGTGAAATTTTGTTTCCATAAGACATAACAGTTGTGAAGATATTTAGTAACATTTACTTAATTACATTAAAGTTGTAAGTTAGATTTATTTAAACAAATTAAGTAAAGTGTATTTGTTTTTCATAGGCACAAACAGTATTTTACTCAAAATTTTAAGGCAACACAGAAACAAACAGGACAAACAACCATTCATGCACACACTCTCACCTAAGGAGAATTTAGAGAAGCCAGTTAACCTAACAGTCATGTTTTTGGACTGGAAGCCGGAGTACCCAGAGAGAACCCATGCATGAACCCATGAAATAACATATGGCTTGTTCGTCAAAAAATAAAAAACATTAATGACAGGCAAAGCTTCCACTAAGATGACCTGGAACCCACTGCTAAGTCTTGGTCTTTGATATTTTGTTTTTTTTGTTTTTTTTTGTGATGCCACATTTTCTTACCCTAAGATGACAAAGTCATGAATTCATTTAGGAAGGCAACTTCATCATACAGTTCGAATCCATCCAACTCCAGGAAAAGTTTTTGGAAGACTTCAAAAGTGTAGCGCAAAGTGGGAGGGTATGCCAAGTTCAGGGCATATATCAGTCCCGTGAGCAGCAAGCAGGCTTTTGCAGTACTGTTGCACCCTGCCAAAATGACTGTCGTCTTGCTCTGTGTGTAATCTTCTAACGTTTGGACTCTGAGCTGAATAAGTCCTGCTGTGAGCTACAGTGTGCATGTGGCGTGTGTGGTTTCAAAATTTTAGATAACAGTTTATATAGTATTTTTTAAGTTTATGCACATACTGCTATTAAACATTTAAATAGTATAAGGAAATCTAAATAAAACTTACTCTTTCTCCAAAATGAAGGTGTTACTTAAAAAAGGTTTAATTTTACTTCAGTTACTCTAGTTTTTATTGAAGCTTAAAAATACAGAGTAGAAATTATGACCAATACTCTAATAGAGTTTAGTGCACAAAAAAGTCACATTTTTCAGTGTAGTGTTGGGACTACCCCATTAAAAAATAAGATTAAAAAAATAGATTGTGTTGATAAATGTCACAATGATAAACAATTTTGTTCAGGTTTACAGTGTCAATGTCATTCTGAACTGGTTTTATTGCAGGTTAATTGTTATTGCAGCTATATATATATATATATATATATATACAAACTGGAACAACAACTAAACACTTGAAAATCACATGTTGCATACTGACAATGAAATCATGTTAACTCTGTAATTTACTGCAGCCATACTCAGAGATGAGAGACTTGAGACAGCTTCTGAATGTAAATCAATACTTTATAAGTAATAACCGCTAATTAAGATTGATGATACCAACGTTGTTATTGTAACTAAAGCAAATAGGTAACAAAAGTCTAACTATTTCATATCACATTAAAAGCAACCTGATGCTTTTTTTATTTATTGGTGGAAATAATCTATAACAGTATGCTAAGCAGATTTTTAAGTTTTTTACACAATAAAACAGTTTGGGAGCGAAATGTATTC